GTATAATTCTCTCTCACTGCTTTTGTTCAGATCTGGTTCAGTTTATGGTTTAAGATTGATCCTTGAAAATATGATTTTCTAAATAGGGAATTCGATTCCCAGTTGAAAGGGAGAGAAATTTTTTTGAAATTCGCCCACCTTATTCCGCAAGATTTGGGCGTCCATACGATGGATCTCTCATCCCTTCAGTGTTGAGATTGCTTAGACATGGGTGTTTTGGACCTTTTTTTCTCTCCCTTGTACTCTTTTTGTATTTGGGCACCCAAGTAAGGGCTTTCTTGTAATTTACTATTTTCAAAGTATAAAGATCTTTTGATAGTGTGAACAGTAACAAGAACACACCTCTCAACACATCTCTTCTTCTTCTTCTTCTTCTTCTCTCCTCTTGCTTTCTCTCTTCTAAACCCTAGTTTTAACTTTTGTTTTTCAACTCAACGATCCTTTCGATTTAGATTGACTGCTACAACATTTTAGGCCCATTAAGTTTATGTGAATTTGTGAAATCCAATTGCTGCCTTGCTGGCCCATGTGATAGCCATATTGATTTACTGTGAAATCTTTGATTTTTGTTAGCTGATTTGAATTGCCAAATATCAAATTCGACTAGCACTGTTGCTCACTTAGATTAAATTTCCCCTCATAGGTATGCAATCTCATCACCATGTTGTTCTATTTTGTTGATTCCTCTCACCATTGTTGTTTAGTGAATAGCTTGGTATCTGTTAGTTTTGGTGCCTCGGTGCTTCTTGCTTACCATTATAACTAGGAAGTAATCTTGACTTTTGGTTTCTTTCATCTATCATCACCTAGATGATAAGGTGCCCCCCTGTCACCTAGGCTAATCTATATGCTTTGACAACTATGATTGTAATTCAGATATGGTAAAGTTCCATCTCTATGCCAGTATGCCATCTCAACTAGGTTTTGATGGGCTTGAATCAAAGGAACATTGTAAAAGGAGAATTAACCAAAGGTGTTTGTTGAGAATGTAGAACCAAAAAGGGTATTGAAAATAGTCTCACATCAAAGATATTCAGAGTATTGCCTAGGAATATCTAGAAATTTCTTATTCTGAGGTCAGCTAATAATGACATGGATTTCTCGACGAAAAAGGTCTTATCTTCTTCTGTACCCTGATTTTCAAGAGAGTTTTGAACTTAGCAAGACCCAAAAAGGAGCTACAGTGCCAGCAGTAACTCTGATTGACAACAACAAGATCCCCTTTCTTGGAATGACTTTTTTTTCCAAATCTTCAGGAAATCTTATAGATGTTCACCATAATCCCTTCGAATTTAGACCATTATGGTAAGCACAAGCTCAATTGCATTACTCTCAAAGAAGTAAATTCTCAAAATCTATAAAACCTTCTTAAGGTTCCAATCCAAAATATTTTGCTTTAAAATCATGCTACAAGGCCCACAACTATTGCAGTGGATTTACCACTGGGGAGGCAGGGCAGTGGGTTCACCACCTCTGTTATGATTTTTAAGTTCCTCTAGTGCTAGATGTATGTAAAAGTCCCAATTTCTACTAAACCAATTAGTACTTCCAAATGTTCTATGTGATCAGAAATGAATGAAATTAGGCAGTAGCTCGAGTAAGTTGCAGATCTTTTTCTTTCTTTTTTTTTTTTTTTTTTTTTAGGAATCAGTAGAACATCTATTAGTCCACCATGCCTATCTTTTATGAGATCTGGACTACTAGAATATCTCTATCCAATTGGTTGTGCATGTAATGACAAAGGCACTTCTTTAGTTTCCATGTCAAACAGAGTCTAAGTCAAAAATATTCTATTCATCCTCCTCCAATCCCATTTTACTGTCTTTAGATTCTGCTTTTAATGTCTATATTTCAAATGAAATATAAAAAGGTGTCATTGCTTGGATGCTGTAAAGTTTTGGGCTGACAAATGTGAGAATGCAGGTTTGAGTCTGAGACTGGGCACTTCATACCAGAAAAAACTGGAGGGTAAGTCCATATCCAGTTCACTCCTCACAAGACCTCTGATACCAGAGAACAGTCAGCATGGGATAATGGCCCTTATTTCAACTGAAATATATTTAAATAACATAGAACAGATGAACATATGCTCAAGCAAAGAAACATAGGGACCATTTGGTAACAGCTTAAGTGGCTGAACTGAATAACTTATTGCTTTGTATTTTAGCGGATTATTCACTAAAAGACAAAGCAATAAGTCATTCAGTTCAGCAATTGTCAAATGGCCCTTTACAGTAGGTGGTAAGTAATGCTGATTGATGGTCAAAAAATATGTTAATAACCATATATAAGGAAACTCACCATGCACTTCCTCATGCTATAAGAATAGTCATGAGAGACATGCATCAAATCATCCTCATGCTATAAGAATATTGTTCAACCAATATTCCCCAAATAAGTAGATTCAAAAGAAACAATTTAGTCCTACTGATATAAAGCTGGAAAATTTTATTTTGCAATACAAGATACAGAATGTAATGATTGAAAACAATCAAAACCTAAGACTTGATATAAAATGGTAAATGGTTATACGTAGGCAAATTACCCAATGCAACATTTATCAATCCAAAAATATAGAACCTGGACAAAATTCAGCTGCTGATATCTTACTTGTCCTTGGAGATGATGATGAACTCGAGCTCTCAGCATTCTCAATATTGTATCTGATGCTAGTTGTAAAGGCATATCTGGTGACAATCTCTGCAACAACAAATTTCAAACTCCCTAGCAACAATCCTGGAGAAGCATCTAAAAGTGTAAAAAAGAAACAAGCAGTTCTACTGTTCCAGCAAAATGAGGCTGATAAGTTACTGATCATTCACAACAAGAAGGCAGACAAAAAAATATCTAAAAGTCCAGTCCATGGATCCATATTCAGCATCTTTTTCTTTTTTTAACAAATAGATGAACTCAGTTTTCTATAGCTTCTGCTACAACAGGTTTTCAGAATTTTATCATAAGACAGACACAGCAGATCATACGATAGTAGTGAAAAATTAGATTTGTTCTTTCAATAGGAAAGAAATCCTTTAAAGAAGGGCCAAGATAACCAAATTTATTTTGTAGTTAAGTGAGGAATGACATAGGTAGTCTATGATGTCAATCCTAGGCACCCCATTTTCTCTCTTCCAAAGGAGACATGAGGAATAAGTTACTCATTCTAGAACTCTACCAAAAGACCAAGGCCTCCCTTTTGTAGTGGCAAAACATCAAAGTCTCTCTCGTATAGCCAAAATGATAGTTCACTGCTTGCTAAGATATCTATGGATCTAAAACTTCATGGTACTCATTGAAAGAACACCATACAACAACCAAAAAAAAAAAAAAAAACAAAATGATGCATTCAAAGGTTTTAATGATTTATTGAGGATAAAAGGCTTAAACATACCCCAAGTTTTCATAACATACCCGAGTTTTTCAAATAGACTTAAATATACCTCGTGGCCATAAAAAGATTGTTTTACTCTTCATTGTTCTTTAAATTTTCAAAAAGAACCATAGAGACCCAGACACTGTTCATCAACTCCTAAACACCATTATTCAAATACAGAGAGCTAAGCTGCCTCATCTTTCCCCATTCTCTCCCTTCCCTTCTCCTCCTCCTTCATCTTCATCTTTCTTTCCCTTCTATTCTATCTCCTTCCTCTGCCCCTTCAGTACTTCACTGCTGAACATAACAGAGAGGTGGCAAGAGTGGCAACAAAAACAAAAACAGCTTATCACCACCTCCTCTTCTCTCACCCACCACCATCCACCTGCCCCTATTTCAATCTGCCTCCCCCTCTCCACTACGTTATCCATCCACCAGCCCCCTATTTTAATCCAAATCAATCCAACATCTTTTGTTCTCCTGCTACGCCATGGATCAACCACTGGCCCCCACTTGATTCATCTCAGGCATGCTTGTTCCTCCTTAACACATAAGTTTGATCTGTGCAAGCCTACCGGAAAGCTCCATTCTCAACAACTTGAACCGTCTGTATCTGTCAAAGATTAACTTCATTCCCCTGTGCTGTATATTGTAAAGATTGTTTCAGTTGCAGAAACAGAGCAAGAAATAGGTATATTGTTTTAGAAGACTATCATTTTCAAAGAGTAAAATAGGATTTTTAAAATATTAAAAGAGGTTCATAAAAATAGGAGAAGAAATGAGGGTATGTTTAAGTTCACTGGGGTCAGCCCACAAGGTATATTTAAGTCTATATGCAAAACTCAGGGTATGTTTAAGTCTTTTACCCTTTAATCAATTGTTTCCTCATCTAATAGTTCTCATCCCCATTTTAAAGTCTCAGCTGGTCAAGTCAGGAGTTGATTGATCAACACTTCAACAGGATGCATCTTGTTATCCCCATCCTTGGGAAGTTTAATATTGTTCTTTTACTTAACAAAGAAGCTTGCATGTTTTCACATGCATACATACACATGATTGTGAAGAGAGAGAGAGAGAGAGAGAGAGAGAGAGAGACTTTACCTCCAGAACTTGCAGTGGATCCAAAGATTCTCCATGATTGTGAAGAAGGCGAACAGCAGCCTTAAACATAGGCTCCTTCCCGTCTTGGGGATCCAAATACATATCAAGTAGCCTGATGTAAAAATTGGATCAACCGTCAATGAGCTTGTAAACAAGACAGAAAAGATTAAAAGAAATGGTGTACACATATCATTAAATAACTTTAACAAAATGAATAATAAACAAAAGCTTACTGCATATAGGCATCAGGTCTACCAATTTCTGCACAATATTGTTCAGCTGCTTCACTGTCCTCCAGCTTCCTGAAGATAATTGAAAATCACATGTATGCCTCCAACTAAATCCAAAATTGATAAGCTTAAAATGCATATTTAGGATGACAACATGCAACTATGATTTTTTCTACTAGTACTGTAGAACTTACAAAGCCAAAATTTGGAGCACCAATGTCTCTTGCCCAAGTTTCCTGTAAAGAATAGCCTGTCATAGAAAGCCAAAAAAATGAGGGAGAAGGCAATAGAAGGTCTCTTGTTCTAACAGAAAACTTCTGGAAAACCATTATCTGAAAATGGAAAAGGAAGACACAAACTGTCCTAGAGCATCCAGTGCAAGATATAATTGACACATGTTGCAGGTCTTGCAGCATATATATATATATATGAACAAAGTTAACTTTTTATTGAAAACAGAAGAAGTACATGAGAAGATGTAGTGAAGCCTAGACCGGCTTGGCAAAATAACAAAGGCAAACAACTATTGCTCAACAAGATTTCTCTAAAGACCCCTGATTTTGCTAGGCTATCAGCAGCTGTGTTTTGCTCCCTAGGAATCCAGATCAGCTTCACATTCATAGAGACTAAGATATCCCTAGCTTCAGCTATCAAGTTTACTAGTCTCCCAGGCCCTCCTTCCTTCTCCCATAACCATGTTATAGTATTAGCAGAATCCCCTTTGATGGTTAAAGAGGAAAAACCTATCCGTTTGGCAAGGCAAATTCCTGTGAGTGTAGCCAAGACCTCTGCCTTTGTAGCATCTGCCCTCCCAATTGGACCACTATTAGCCGAGCATATATTCCCCCTTTCCCCTCAGATTACACCCCCAATTCCTGCTTGACCTGTGGAGCCTTGGGCACTACCATCAAAGTTTAGAGTCATACTCCTCCTTCTCTAAAGGAATGTCTTATAGTCCACTCAGATCTTGGAGAGGAGTACAGGATTGCTGGAAGGTTGCTCTGAAGATCATTTAAGGAGAGACCTTTGAAAACTTAAGTATTAATCACCCAAAGGTTACAGAGAAAAATGATTTAGGAAGTTAGATCTTCAGCATTTCTAGCTTTATTTTCGAAAATCCTATTATTCCTTTCTTTCCAAATGCCTGGCAAGACTGCATGGGTTACTGTATTCCAGTATAACCTTCCTCTTTTTCCTAAACCTCTGCCTTGCCATTGCCACAGGATGTTCACCACCTTCCCCGGGAACACCCAGCTGTAACCAACTAAGTTTAGGAAAAAACACCAAACCTTCCTTGTGACAAGGCAATGGAGAAGCAAGTGATCAGATGTCTCTCCATCACCGAGGCAAAGAGGGCAAACATGGAGGGAGATGCATAATCTGCCTCTAAACTTATTCTGGATCAAACCACAAGTGTTTATTCTCTTTAAGTAGACTTCCCAAACAAAGAAGGAGACTCTAAAGGGGATGTGTGAACTCCAGACTTTCTTAACCGGAAAAGGAGAACCCTGATCTGCTGATACTAGAGCCTTGAAAAAGGAATTAGAGGAGAACTTGCCGGTAGGATTAAGTTTCCAGATTCTCTGGTCAGGGGTAGCAGGAGAGATGGAGGCCTCATTAAGAGACTTTAGCAAACTTGCTATATCAGCAATCTCTATCTCTCTCAAAGGCCTTCTGAGGTTTAGATTCCAAATGGTTCCCAAAGAAGAGGGGCTAGGGCTTAGAAGCTACCATGGCTTTTTTGGATTGGGACATGTTAAAAATTCTGGGGCAAGAGTTAGCAAGGGTATCTGCTCCCCACCACAAATCAGTCCAAAATTTAATTCTATTTCCGTTTCCCACTTGATATCTAATAGAATAAAAAAAAAAGGTCATAGGTAGAAGAAATACCTTTCCAAGGGTTAGAAGCTTTGACCCGGTTCAAGTAGACCTTGCTATCCCAACTGTTGCCATGTCTCCCGTACTTTCTCATGATGATTTTTTTTATCAATAATTCTCATGATGATTTTTGTCCATAAAGCTTCCATTTCCAAGGGGTACCTCCACAGCCATTTTCCAAGAATGGTAAATTCCTTTCTTTGATATGTCCTAGCCCCAATCCACTGACTTCCTTACGCTTGCAAACCTGATTACAACAAACTAAACGACACATCTTTTCACCACCTCCTTCCCAAAGGAAATCCCACTGGAGCTTTTCAATTTTACTTTTTACTTTTCCCGGGACTCGAAAAACTGAAAAGAAATAGATTGGCAGATTGGCAACGGATGCCTAAATAAGTGTGAGTTTCCCCCCTTTTGAAAGGTAGCTTTTCTTCCATGTGGCCTATCTTTTCCCACATTTTTCCACCACTAGGTCCCAAAAGCTTTGACTTCTCGGGTTCCCACTGTTAGAATGTTAGAGTGATGTTCGGCTGATAAGAGTTCTTATTAGCCCATTCTTATGTTTAACTTATCTTGTAACTGGGCTTGTGTTAATGGGCCTAATCCTGTTTAATGACTTAAGTCATCTGGGTGTCCCATCACTAATCAGGGGCATCCCAGTA